CGTATGTGGCTCACGAGCTGCAGTTTGCTGACCCCTGCACTCGATCTAAGCAAAAATAGAAAAGAAAAAAAAAAACTGCGCTTTTTAAAAAGCACATTTAGTGATGTATAATATGAATATATAACCATTTATTCGTTCATTCTACTGTTGGTTGACATTTGGACTGTTTCCAGATTAAAGCTAATTAGTGCTTCTCTGAATATTTTTGTTATATTGAACATAAGTACACATTTCTACTGGGTGTTTACCTAGGAGTGGAATGAGAAAGAAACTACTGTTTCATCCAACATAGATGATTCTCACAAACACAATGCTGAGCAAAGGAAGCCATGCAATGAGTACATGCTGTGTGACTCCATTCATATAAAATTTGAAAACAGCTATTCTGTGGCATTAGAAGTCAGGATAGTAGTTACCTCCCAGAGGTGAGCGACTAGGAGTAGGCAAGAGGGGCTCTGGAGTACTGATGAAGACGTATTTTTTGATTTGGGTGCTGGTTAAAGGGATATGTTCACCTTGAGAAAATAAAATTAGATTCTTAAATTTGTGTGATATAAATATAAATATATATATGTATATGTGTATATATATATGTATATATAGATAGATTGATCTCTATATACCATACTATATGCAGATATATTTAGAGATATATATCTATGTGTTAATTATATATATTATATATTATATGTGTGATATAAATATAGAAATATCTATATATAATATATAATAATAATATAATATATAATATATATTGTATATATTATACTTAAATGAAAATTTTACTTAAATGTATATTTACAAAGCACTTATAGGCTCACTTTTATTCCTTCATGCAAAGTAATATAGTAATATAGGAAATGGGCCATGAAGTCACATGGGGCAGACTATCCCAACAAGGCCAAGGGCCTAAGGTGAGTGTGTCCTAGCTATAATCAAGGAACAATGAAGAGACCAGAGCGGCTGGAATGGAGTAAACAATGGGGACAATAGTAGAAGCTACAGGTATATATATAAATTAAAATTGTAAGGCAAAAAGGTAGTGACTTGTGTCCATGTTTCTACCTAAATTCCTTCTCCAAATCCTACTGGAATAACTAGGTAATGTGGAAATAAGAAAGAAATGTGTAATGGTATTAGGAAAAGAGCATTAATTACCAGAAATGTTAAGAAAGGTCCTTTGAAGGAAAATGAAGCAGACAGCATGAGATGGGGAGAAAAGCCCATCCATACAAACTAGTCCAAAATTCAAGGGACTAGAAAAAGAAGTTTTACAAACTATGCTTAAAAATTCCCCAAACTCAGAGCAGCAGTGACTGGGGAGAGGGTGGCTGTAGACCATCAAAAGGGACCAAATCAAAGGATTTTGAGATCTGTTAGTAAATCAGAGTACTACGCCCAGTCTGTATTTGTACAGGGGACATCGTTCCACCATGCTGAGTCAAGGAGGGAGGAGAACACAGTTAGCATCACAAAGAAAAATACAGCCAGATAATTACCCTACTACTATGGAGTCTGTGTTCATTCACTCGCTCATTCATTAATAGATGTATTGAGGGCCTAATATCTACCAGTCAGAGGATTATGGGGTGGGAGAAAAGAGAAGACTTCTCTGATAAGGTAGCATCTGGGCAAAGGGCTGAAGGAAATGAGAGTGTGAGCTATGAGGAAATCTGGGGGAAAAGCATCCAGGCAGAGGGAAGAGCAAATGCAGAAATGTGGGGTGAGAGTATACACGGCATGTTTGCAGAACAGCAAGGGAAATGATATGGCTGGAGCATAGCGAGGAAAATGGAGACTGGTAGGATGAGAGGTCAGAGAGGTATTGCAAGGCCAGGTCATGCGCTCTCTTGTGATCTGTAGGCCCTTGTGAGGATTTTGGATTTTATTATGAGTAAGATGGAAAGCTACATGGGGATTCTGAGTGGAAGAGTAACGCCAGCTCTCTCAAGTTTTGAAAAGGGTCACTCTAGCAATGCCGTTCAAAAATAGATTTGTAGGTGTCAAGGGCAAAAGCAAGGAGACCAGTTCAGGGACAGTTGTAATAAAATAGGTGAGAGAGATTGGTGGCTGAGTAGTCGGGATGGTGAGTAGTTAGGTGATGGATCTATATTAAAGGTAATATTGATAATTCCTTCCCTACTTCCCATTGGCAACTATCTCATGCCACATTCTTGGACAACTCTCAGATATTACAGCATAAGTTGTAGGAGTGGCCAGGCAAAGGAGCACTTACCAAGGATCAACCTGCAAGAAGTCCCTGCTTTAATGTCTGTGAGCACCAAAGAAAAGCCTGCCTTCCCACCACCACATCAGGGCTAAAGCCTGCCCAATGGTGATCTAAGCTATCTAGTCTGTGTCCAAGATAACTATTGCAGAAGAAATGAACTGTTCCCTTTGTTGGCCCCTAAATTATCACATAATGATGATATACTTGAGTCTAATTTTGGATTTTTCGAATCTGTGCTTTCCCTTAGCACTGTGTATTCCTATAGTATTAGCCTGTTTTAATTACTGTGGTTTATATTGTGAATTCCCACCTCATATTCTTTTTTGGAAATTTCCTGGATAGTTTTTCATATTCATTTTTCCAAGTAAGAGTTATGATTATTTTGTATATGATTTTTTAAAAACTCGTGGTGTTTTGAGATTCCATTGTAAAGATTAATTTAGGAAGAACTTCCATCTTGACAGTGTTGAGTCTTCTTTGAGAACAAGGCATAGCTCTCCATGTATTTAAGACGACTACTTTTTCTTGATAAATATCCATATTTAGGATACCAACCTTACCTCTCACTTCAACTTGTTTTCCCTTCGTCAATGCCCTCATTTAGGAAAAAAGTTTTGTTCTAGTTCAACAGTTAATTAGCAAAACAAAATTTAAAAACTCCAAATTTTATAATTTGCATAATTAAATCTGAATTATGAGAAGCCTGGACCTTCCTGGTACTTATAAGCCATGTATGCCTTATTTTCGTCACAAGTGGGCCCAAGGCTTCCAGCTACTTCTGATTCCATCCAGAGGTGCGTCCTGTTCACCAGCTTGCACCTATTCTCCTGCACTTTGGGAAAAATCTTTTCAGGGTCTGCCCATCTAAGAGACCACAGGTCTTCTCCAATCCCTCCAGGGAACAGAGAACCACCAGGAGCTTTTATAATTTTCACCCTGCAAATCTCAAATCTTGGGTTGGTTTAATCACCTCTCCTCTCTGCTCTGGAATGCTGCTGGAAGATTTCACATAATAACCAGCATGGGGTTGAAGTCACTACAAATGCACAGCCTCTAACTTCAGCTGGATCTTCAACAGACGTTTTATATTTTCTTCTTCAACTTCTTCTCCTAGGGAGAGTAGGACTAGAGCTATAGATCTGGGACTCATGACATAAGGACTGTTCTAAACTTCCACCACTCTTCTTTCTTTCTCTGCAAATA